TCGTTCAATCTCGTTACCGGCAAGTCACTTTACTCGTACCGTAATGCATGATCCCGTGACCAGACACTTGGTCACTCTGAGCTCATTATGATGATGCATTACCGAGTGGGCCCAGTGATACCTCTCCGTCATACGGAGTGACAAATCCCAGTCTTGATCCGTGTCAACCCAACAGACACTTTCGGAGATACCCGTAGTATACCTTTATAGTCACCCAGTTACGTTGTGACGTTTGGTACACCCAAAGCACTCCTACGGTATCCGGGAGTTACACGATCTCATGGTCTAAGGAAAGGATACTTGACATTGGAAAACTCTAGCAAACGAACTATACGATCTTGTGCTATCTTTAGGATTGGGTCTTGTCCATCACATCATTCTCCTAATGATGTGATCTCGTTATCAATGACATCCAATGTCCATAGTCAGGAAACCATGACTATATGTTGATCAACGAGCTAGTCAACTAGAGGCTTACTAGGGACATGTTGGTGTCTATTATTCACACATGTATTACGATTTCCGGATAACACAATTATAGCATGAATAAAGACAATTATCATGAACAAGGAAATATAATAATAATGATTTTATTATTGCCTCTAGGGCATATTTCCAACAAGGTTCGGTGACGCTAGGGTTGTAGAGATATGAATATGCAGTAACCCGAAAGTTGTTCGGAGTCCCGGATGAGATCCTGGACGTCACGAGGAGTTCCGGAATGGTCCAGAGGTGAAGAATTATATATAGGAAGTGCAGTTTCGGCCATCGGGAGAGTTTCGGGGGTCACCGGTATTGTACCGGGACCACCGAAAGGGTCTCGGGGGTCCACCGGGTGGGGCCACCCATCCCGGAGGGCCCCATGGGCCAAAGTGGGGAGGGGAACCAGCCCATAGTGGGCTGGTGCGCCCCCCTTGGCCCACCCCATGCGCCTAGGGTTGGGAACCCTAGGGTGGGGGCGCCCCACCTGGCTTGGGGGGCGCTCCACCCCTTGGCCGCCGCCCCCCCTAGGAGATCCCATCTCCTAGGGCCGGCACACCCCCCTAGGGGGCCTATATAAAGGGGGGGAGGGAGGGGGCAGCCGCACCCTTGAGTCTTGGCGCCTCCCTCTCCCCTGCTACACCTCTCCCTCTCGCAGTATAACGGCGAAGCCCTGCTGCGGTGACGCCCTGCATCCACCACCACACCGTCGTGCTGCTGGATCTTCATCAACCTCTCCTCCCGCTTGCTAGATCAAGAAGGAGGAGACGTCACGCTGACCGTACGTGTGTTGAACACGGAGGTGCCGTCCGTTCGGCGCTAGGATCTCCGGTGATTTGGATCACGTCGAGTACGACTTCCTCATCCCCGTTCTTTGAACGCTTCCGCGCGTGATCTACAAAGGTATGTAGATGCAATCCGATCACTCGTTGCTAGATGAACTCAGAGATGGATCTTGGTGAAACCGTAGGAATTTTTTTTTTGTTTTCTGCAACGTTCCCCAACACCACAAAGGTTTGGTTTCATTCATTTCATGAGCCATACAGTTGAAACCCAAGGTTTCATGGTCATCTTTAGCCTCTAGCTGAATCTATAAATCACCCCCTATAACTCCAAACAAGCTAATCCACTTTGTCCCCTTCAGCGGCGAGCCACATTGTTTGCGCCTCCGGTGAGGTCTTGTTGAGACCTTGCCAGTAACGCCGCAGCCGACGATGGTGTCTCTGTCTCAAGGTTGGGTGGTGTTTCCCAATGCAAGAGGGAGTAGAAATGATAAGCCCGCCACCCAAACCCGCGAAGCCTCATCGTCCTTGCCTATCTTGGAAACGGTCGGCCGCATCACGTCGTCCCTCTCTCTCCCTCTACCTTTCTCTCTCTCTCCCTATATCATTCTCTCCCTCTCTCTCATCAAAAGCAAGAGCCATACCAAATAAAGAAAACAACAACATGCGGATGCAAATCTAAGTGCTAGACCAAAAGTGAGCGGGAAGTAAATATATTTCAAGCAACTAATTGTTAGAGCATCTCTAACCGAACTCCTAATTTTTAGCACCTCAAAACTTAACTCAACAAATTCGAGGGGTTAAAGAAACATGAACCTAACCGAACTCTCAAATTTAACTTCTCAAATGAACTATAGCCCACATGTAAGTCTATTCCTATCTTCTTCTTCCTTCCACATCCTTTTTCTATCTTCCTTCCATGTGGCCAACGATGAATTTTTGCCACTAGATGATGTCCATGAGCTATATAGGACCTATGAAGATGCTCTGCAAAAGTAATTTGATAGATCGCTCACCGACGGGTCATGGCTTGGACACTTCTTCGTTTTAATGGGTTCATACCCTAATCCTTCTGCCATTTTTTTCCTCTATATGTTCCTCAGCTTGCTGCAGCTTTGTTTGTGCCAGAGGATGATGGGGAGGAGCACCGCCAACCTAGGAGACGACGAGGAGGAGCTGCCGTCTTCAGAGACGAAGGGAAAAAAGTGAAGAAAAAAGGTTTGTCGAATTCTTCCTAGAATTTGGCGGTGGGACGTCGGCAGGGCTGCCAGGTGGTTGCCGGAGGTACAAAATGTTGCGCGGGGGGGTGGGGGGGGGGCGTCGGCGTGCAAGCAACCGAGCAACATAGGGAGGCAGCCTAGTGAGAGAGAGGGAATCTTTTGCTGAGGCTTGCTTTAGCTTCTCATCTTTGAGAGGCGGTCAATGCTTCTCCTAAATTGTTTTGAGGAGTTGAAGGTTTTAAGAATACGACTAGGTGCAACATGTAACTCCCTAAAAAGGAATCAAAGCAAATATTTAAGAATTAAACCCTTTTAGGAATTTAGCTAGAGATACTCTTAGATAACCTCTAGTCTTCTAAGGAGAACTGAGCGCTAGCTCAGTGGTAGGGGCACTCTCTTGTTTTTGAGGCCAGCCGGGTTCTATCCTTGTGGAGAGCGAATATTTCTACCGTGTTTCTCATTCCTTTTATAAAAATATGCCAAGGGATGCTTGCCCCTTTGGTCTCCTTTCTCTATTCTTTTAAGAGCATCTTCAACAGCCGTGCTAAACAAGCGCCGCGCCGCAAATTTTGCCATTTTAGCGGGCGCGTAATAACCGCGCGCGCGGCATATGTAGTTGGGCGCGCGGTCCGAAACGCCAACTCGTGTTGTGTATTTGGAGCACCGGCTTTCGCGCGCGGCACACACGAGCGCTCACGCCGCACTCTCTCCTCCCTGCCACCTTCGCCCCGCGCGCGCCAGCGCCGGCGAACTTGACCCGATGGACGCACGCGCCGGCACCCCGCTCACCCCAGCCTACAGCCGCAACCCCTCCCCCTCCGCCGCTGCCGCCGCCGGAAACCCTAGCGCGGGGAGCGTTGGCCTCGCCACCGCCAGAGCTCCTCCGAGCATCGGCCTCGCGCGCGGCCTCTTCATGTCGTCGTGGATGACCACGGCGGCGGGTGG